AATTATTAGTTAATGTACATTTACCTGGTCAATCCAACAAACTATAACCTGTGCCAACTACTGTACTCATGCCCAACCTAATACCAGCGACAGTGACAAATGGTTGAATTCTCTTGGATTCAGCATGGTCAAGGTTAATCAGTTAAACCACTTTTTCAGCTTGCCAGAGGGTTCTTTATCAAACTTGCTTCCTCTCAGAAATTTGGTTACAAAAAGCAAGACAATTGTAAACTGTACTTGTACCTGTTTGCCGCAAGTTTCCAAATTATGAAGTCAGGAATTACTTTCATTTCATTTATGTCATTTCTCGGGCAGAACAAGTTACAATAAACAAATACAAACACAATAAGACGAGAAGATAATAATTACAAAGAATATTCCAATCAGCCCCCGAAGGATTGCCCAAAAGATATAAATTCTGTTAAAGGGGCTCTCCAAACTAATTGAAATAAATACAAACATATACTACACTTATGACAAATAAGTTACAACACGTAGACTGAGATATTTCAGGTGGAAAAAATGTGATACTAGAGATTGTGTTGACATGACTGTGCAGTGAAATGTAATCCAAAGTACAGTACAAGGAACCATTTTCAAATGCTCATTGACCTGCTCAGACTCTCAACTTTTTCAAGCCAAGTTTTTTTACACACCTGATGTTTAGATAACCCAGGAGATAAGCATGTGGGACCTTTCTAATCCAAACATTTGTTGTGCTTCCTCTTGTTTAATGGTTAGATTAATTAACATGTAAATTTTGCTCTTATCAAGCACTCTAATTTTAGTTTTCTCTAAGATCTAGCAGATGTTTTGCCATGAAATTGGAAATTAATTATTGCCTTAGCACTGGAACAAATATTCATAAATACCAGTCCTCAGACAGTTTCCCTATTCAACAATGCGCAACATGACCACGTATTAACATTTGATAATGCCCGCTGAGATGTGATAGTGCCCGCTGCATAAAAAAATGCCCCGGCACCAGGATACGAGACAGTATAATTCATTCCTATTGGTCGAGGGTCTGCGTGTGATGCGGCATTTAGAACGACCACGTGCGCACAAAGTCCATATGGAGATTCTTATGGACAAATTGCACAAGGAATATACCATAAAATGGATGAGGTTGTCTTAGGGAAAATGAAAGTACAATTCTAGAATAACATTGTTGGAAATCTACAATTTACTGACTTCTTTTGACTCTGAGCAGCCACGCCCACAAAATAACGCCATTACTCAATGTGGTGATTTTTTTCTCCCTGTAGTGATTTTTTTCTCCCTGTGATGATTTTGTTTCCAGGCAGTTCCCCATCCTGCTGAACCTGTACGACTATTTGATGCTAACTAATACACCCCTCAGGTCCCCTCTTTAAGTACTTTTCATTATGCTGCAGTGGAAGGACATTTGTAGCCACGCCCCCAAAATAACTCTGAGTAGGGAGGTAGATGTTTTTTACTACGTCATTTCCCACTCATATGGGCATCTTGGGGTTACTGATCATTCCTCACTCCTTACTCTGCAGTGGTTGGGGGCTGGCCACTAGGTTTGGAGGTGCGCAAATGTTGCGTAACTGCAGTGGGTCAACTTGAGCCACTTTTGGTTTGGTACATGTACGCCAGGTGGCGCCGGCATAACTTCCTTGTTATATTTTGGATTAATTAAGCTCTTATCTAAACTCAATTCAATTCAATTAAATTCAAATCAACTTTTCCCATGTCTGAACGTATCCTATGTGCTTGGCTGGTCTTAAACTAATGTTTAAGAGGAGAGGATCATCGGGTTACTGAAGTAAAAGCGCAGTGCCATTCTAATAGATGAATGGGTTTGGAACCAGAGTGCATTAAAAACCCAACTGCGTTAAGTGAATGATGTCAGAATGATGACATCACTCTCAACTAGATTAAGTAATGAAGGATCTGATCAATCAGCTTGATCTGTGAAGTGGCCAGTGCCTGTTCCATCCAGACCAAACCGGATTGCACTGGATTAAAACTCCCACCATCTTTTGCCTACTGGCAGGCATTTGTTGCCAACATCCGTGTGCTTTGGGTGACTTCCTGTCTTTTTGTACTGTACATGTACTTACCCTCAGAGTCTTTCTCCAAGCAGTCTTTGTCCAAGCAACAGTTACTGGTCTGTTTGTCGTGGCGTTCTGTACGATATCCACAACTATAATCATCACAGTAACCACTGGATGAAGATTCATCTACATCGGGAACAGTCTAACAGCAAAGAACAAGAGGACATTGAACATAATGTATACTTATTAAAAACAAAAAAGACAAGTTTTTCAAACATCATCTTTGTTCAAATATTTGAGGCATAAAACTGACCCCTTGAGCGTTTGAAAAGTTTGTTAGGTTGGTTAAAAGTGCAAAATATTATTTCAAGTAAACTGGAAATTTTAAGTATAAAGTACTAAAATACAAGTTGAAACAATTCAAATTTCCTTCAAAGCAGACTCTACATGCAGTTAATTAAAAGCCAAAAGAGGATGTATCACAAACACAAATAATGGTAAAAACCTAAAGCATAAACAGCTGACGTCTTTAACAAGCTGTTTTCATGTAAGGTCACTACTTCTGCAAAGTAAAAATTGCAAGGCACAGGAAGGCGGGGTTTTAACATCATGTACATGTATGTAAGGTGCTTGGTCACCTTCGAAGTCACTACATGTAGTGATTCTACTGGCATTGATGGGTTACTTGAAAATGGCAAAATACAATTCAGCCTGACAGTTTCATTGACAAATAAAAGCATTTGACTGAGGACACTAACCCTGCAGGAAAAACTGGTCAAAGGGCCGAGTAAAAAAAAATTAGGAATTTCTCAGCCCTGCCTACTGTGGCCTTTATCTCTGACCACCTCCTTCTGGTGAAAGAAATAACAGTAATAATAAAAAACTGTCACCTCCTCTATTTTGCAAAATCAAGAGGATAAAACCACTTGGTTTGCTTGTACGCAGCCTAACTACTTACTGGCATGTGTAATCCTGTGCGAGATTATCCAGCAACAGCTACATGTATTGTATGTACAGAAACGAATTTAAAATGCTACCGAGAATTCATCAATAACTAAAAGCTATGGTTTAATCGTACATGCTGCCTGGAGGCCCACAGATTAGGCCAAGATTTCCAGTTTCCATCTCAAGCCTGTGAAATTAATTCAACCACAAGCTGAACTATTGAAGAGGTTCATCCGTGGCTGTAGCTGACGGTGGCTCTCACACACTTTGACAGATGAGGAGATGTTTCTTCCAAATCTGAGATGACTCTGCCTTACAAAGGACTGAAATTCCAGAACTCTTCTGAGATTTTACTCTAGTGTGTGAGAAAGAATTTTTTTGAGTGGCGGTGATTGAATTCCAATAAGAAATGTAAACGGAACCAATCCTGAGAATTACATGTAGCACATTGGATTATTTTTCTTACAAGGTAGCATTGGTCTATTAGTTGTGACTGTGGCATCTATTGCTTCCATACAATTTCATTGCTGGCTTTCTGTTTATCAGTGAAACCTTTTTTGTTTTGAACCCTTATCTTTGGCATTCACTGTCAGGTAGAAAATTGCTCAATTTAAGGCAGGCTCCTTTGACAAATTTGTGTAAATCTACTCAAACGGCATGGACAGCAAAGTCTGATCTGGCAAAAGTACTCTCACTTATTTCCCCATGCGAGATACATGTACAGGTACTTCAGGCCTGCTTTTCTATCATGCCAAAGAAACTTTTCAAGGTATAAATTTCAGATTTTTATAGACTAATCCAATAAGCCTTTCGCAAGTTGAATTAGAATAAAAGCCGGTACACTGAGTTATCTGATTGCACATACATGTACGTGTATACACATTTGAATTCCCCAGACTAAAGACAGTGTTGCTATACCTCGTGATTCGGTGCAAGTGAACAGCATCTCTGGAATGGACTGGTTCCTCTGTGCCCTTCTTATCCATTGAAAACTGTGTATTGTTGCAAGGCATCTCTTATGTAATTAAGTAAAAGCATGCCCCGAATCATGAGGTATAGCAACAGTGTCTTCAGTATGGAGAATTTAAATGGTTATGTTCACATGAATCTAAAGAATGCAGAGTACCAGATTTTATTCATATTTAATTTGCAAAAGGCTTATTAGATGCCATAACTGGGTGGGGCATCACACTCATAAGTACATTCTGCAACTTGACATGCGCATGAATTTGGCAAATAACGGCACTCTGTTGGTTAAAGAGGCATGTACATGTAGCACGCATACAACCTGTCGACAAGCGTTGTGCCATCACAGTGATGGCTTCTACAGGTGATTCTGTGAACACTATAGTAGAGTTGACAAAGTGCTGCTTTCAAGCACAATAAATTAACAGTCTACAGTCGAACATAATTAATACAAGAATGCTGACGATGAGATCCAGCTTAATTAAGACAAGCATATTTCTTCAGTCCCTTCCAAAATGTACCCATTCCCATGAGGAAATTTACTAAATACAAAATGTGTTTGGCCAAGAACAGGGATGTGATGAGCATTTCTGTCAACCTGGCAGTGTGAACAAGCATTGTTATGGCATCTTTACAAGAAGTACAATAGGGTTGTGCCGAATATCTGAATATTTGATTGATTATCGATTATTTGAATATTATTTTCCAAATTTGAATATTTACATGCAAACTTCATGAAAAGGAAGAATTTTTTTGTTTTAACTTAGGAAAATTGCACTATGGATTCAAATGAAAAGTGACAGAAATCTTACGATTCAACGGTAAATTATTCATTAAAAATGAACATTCATTAAAAAAAGAAATAAAAATTTTCAAGAGGATTGTTCGTCTCTTAAATCTTGCTAAATCGTGGCTGGAGATATTCCTAGACGTGAGAAGCTATTATAGTTATTATAATGTACAATTGTGTGCATTAATGCAACTGCTTTTGTATTTGGTTTGTTCAACAATCTGGCTGTCAGTTCGACCGAATATTTGGTTCTCGATCGAATTGAAAGTCGAATATTTGAATTGTGATTTATTCAAATTGACTCAGCTCTAAATTACGATCTGAATATACCTTTCAACCACTAAATCCCAGACAATCTAGAAGAAGCATGTCAGTGATACTAATCCACTTATTAATCTGTGTTACGGCTTAACCAAAGATAATTAAAAGGCTGTGACTTGTGATGCTAGAGGAGGCTTTATAAAAGACAGACAATGCTTACTGTGGAGTTGTGAAATATCCTTGTCCCTCCGTTAAAGTCACTAAAACCAAAACTGGTATTAATATTCAAAGACTGCATTGCCAAATGAAAATCCCTGCCCTGCCAATTAAAAATGTAAGAAAACAGAAATAAATTCCAGAAATTTAAACCTCTTCTATACGTCCTTACATGTATACATGAAGTGATTCCCAAGTAAAACGAACTACCAGTACATGTCAGTAAACTGTTAAAACACTGCTGAAACAAAATACATGTACCATTATACCCTTTTCCCACTACAAACTGCTTAACCCAGAGATCTGCTGCCCCAGGTTAAGCTTTTCTTACCCTGGGGCTCATTAACCCTGAGTTCCGTTCCCGTTACTTTCGTTAACCTGGAATCTCAGTAAACCTAGGTTAAGCTTGCCCAGGGTTTATGTGGTACGGTTTCCCACTTCAAGCGGGCACTCGCACGGCCCGACATTTTAGACCAGATATCGGAGCTCTTAAGCTGGTCCCATAATGCTTTGCACAGACTTTTCACATGCCAAACATCAGGCCCTTGGCATGCAAAATTAACCACGCATGCACAGTCCATCGTCCAAAGAGTGTACTATGAAGTAGCATAGACAATTGTCGATACATTACGTACCGGCACTGCACATGGCACTTTCCCAATTCTCACTTGCGTTTCAGTTTAGGCTTCATTTCCAAACTAAATTCCTGACCATACATGTAGAAGTTGAGTGTTCAGTTTAAATCAATTATCCAAGCTCTTCAAGTTTAGCTCTTTGGACAGCGTTTGATTTTACAACGGTGCTAATTAGCTTACTTATGAAAGGCCCAAATCCCTGTATGTATGCAAATGCAGCAGCAATATTTGGCGCCATACATCATGTACATCAAACCTCTGAACACAGATTACGCAATGCCTCATTGTGGGTTAACCCTAAGATTGCCTGTGGAATGTTTAAGCCTTCTTAGTTAGCGCTAACCTGGGGTTCTGCCCTTAACCCTGAGATTGCCATCCTTAGCCCTGGTCAATGGTAGGGTTCATGAACTCCGGGGTATCTCTTAATTGGGTATCTTTGAGGTTCACTCTTATCCCCAACTCCCACATAACCCAGAGATTATAAAGAACAAATTCTGAGAGTCCAAACATCTTCTGTTCTTGTATTTTCTTTGTTTTCCTTTTATAACAAAGTTCTGGTTATGACAAAGTAATTGTTTGGTCCCTGTAACTACATGTACTCATGTACATTGTGCATGTATGGATAAAGAGAGTTCACTGTACATGTACTTATGTGCAAACGTGGGTACTCCATGTACCAGCATGCATGCCATGTGTGCATGTTACAGGGTCAGTCACACCACCTACTCTAAATGTACTTGCAGCAGTTGGGTTCAGTCCAGGGATTTTGTTTTCTATTGATGTCTTTGTTTTATTTATTCAAAATGAAGGCCAATGAACAAAATTACTAAATTACAGAGGTTGGCCAATTTAAATCATCGATTTTACATGTGATTTAAATCAAATAATTTTTCTTTTTTCTAAATGGCGAAAATGTTTCAATTTCTACTTTTTTTTTCAACTAATAAGTTATTTTACCAGGTTTTGCAGCGAATCCCCCCTCTGAGCCCTTCAGTTCCTAGTATGTATTGAAAATACATGTATGAATGCACACAATTTTAACTCGCAAAAGGTTTATTTACATGTAATTCAGCTCTTTGGATTCAGTGTATGAATTTCAGGTAAATGATTTATGATCCTGATTTAATTTCACTTCATTAAAAGTGTCCACTTCTGAGTATAACATGGTACAGTATCAATGTACAACTACCTTTTATTACTGCAAGTACAAATGTATTCAATTGGGATTAGAAACATTGTCATTATGCAGTGAAACCAAAATCAGAAACAAACTGTTTTTAAGTGATTGTTAATCAAGTCTGAGTCATTGCTCTTTTTATCACGCAGGAGCTGGATGACAAACAAAACGAGACTGCTTTTAGCACACATTAGAGCAAGGTACATGTAACATACCAGCATTTTGTACCGAAATTCCTATAAACTCTAGTTTTGTCAAAAGCTACATGTACATGTACATGTAGAGTTCGGTTTAAAACTTAGTATGCACTTAAGCCTTGGTACATGTACATGTACATTGTACATCTGTATACGTACCAGTACACTGCACCTGTATCTAAGAAGGAACTGTCTTTTCAGCAGGTGCATCATGTATCGGTAGGTGCTATACTGCATGAAATTCATCTGGGCTTTGACAATAGTTTAAGGTGGTTGGAGATTTTAATCAAATTACTTGATTTAAATTTCTTCATTTAAATCTACATTTGTTTAAGTTTGTAACAAAAGAAATTAAGAGAAGGAAATTAACACACGTGCAGCTAATCTGCTTGCTTTGGAATAGAAATTTAAGCCGACTTGTCTCCAATATTTGCTGACGCAAAAAAAAAAAACCAACTTGCCGCCCCTGAAAGTACAACAATGAGGTAAAGGCTACTACCATGGATCAAATACTGTACCAATACGAAAACAATGCACATACTCATACATGTAGCCAACCTTATGCTGGGTGAATGCGACAAACACGGGTAATACAGGACGGGGGATAAAAAAGGTTTTTGAGACAGGCCTAGTCCCTTCGAGCTCGGATTCAACTTGTTATATTGTCCCGGTAAATTCATCCTTAGACTGCACAACACGCTGATAGCACAGATAATTGAAACATTAACACTGCAACAAAAGTGTTAGTGCAGTTGCTGACACTGTGGTCCCCTCTAATAATGCATGCAGTTGGAACTCCATGTAGTCTGGCTTGATTTTCATGTCAGCACAAAATTATGAGCGCTCCATTGACCTCCAGTGTTGAGCCTTCCTCAAATTCAAAACAAAAACATAGCGTAGCCTGATGACTTGTTTTCAACACTACATTTCTCCTCACTCTCTCACCTGTGGGTCCATGTAGGGTACTTCCTGATCATAGAACCCTCCGCAATCCCCCATGATGACCACCGACAGCCAGGATCCTCACGAGACAGGGCTGATTACTGCAGTCTGTCAAGTTAAACAGACACAAAATATAAATCCTCCAGTTTATCCTATCCACTATTGTGAGTGGAGTAACAGCA